TATACATGTCTTCTCACTTCAGTAGACCCTAAAAAATCCCCTTTCTCTCTCTCTCTCACACACACACAGCTTTAGAATATTTTCTCTCTCAAGAAGACCTGTAGAAGGTCTCATATCTCTCTAGAATATCTCAAACAGTCGAATACAGTGGTTTCTATTTACCTGCATCAACATTAGCTGCGCATTGGCCTTTGCAGACCAAAAAACACACTAAAAGATGGTTATGCTGGATAAAACACCACTGATGCTCAAATACATATGTTGTGAATTTATCTCTCTGAGTTTGTCTATCCATTGCTTAACTACTTTTGATGAGCTAAAAGAGAACACTCTTTTGTTTGAAGTTTCGATGACGCTAATGGTGAGCATCGCTTGCCTAGACAATTCATGAGAAAACTTACTTTGTTGTTGTTGTTGAATAAAGTGGTGTTTTCTTGAAATTAGTTTCAATTGTTGTGTTTAATATAATTAAACCACTTAATAAATGTATTATAAACTTTAAAAGATTCCCTATTGATTTTGGCTGGCTATTACACGTACGTAAGTAAAATAAAGATTGCTGCTTTGTTGTGCACGAATAGAAAATTAAAGATACCTGCACTTTTTGTGCACGTAAGTAAAATTAAAGATACCTGTTTCATTGTGCAGATAAATGCAATGAAGCTACCTGCATTTTGGGCATTGCTGCACAAGATGTCGTGCAATTTTTGATTGTGCAGGTAAGCAAAAAATACTGTATATGTTAAAGGCTTTTAAGCGGCTTTCTCTCTGTTGAAGGCCTTTAAAAGCCTAATAAGCTCTCTAGAACTTCTTTAGCAGTTTTTCTTTTTCCGCACATATCAAACATTAGTTTATCTGTTAAACGATTTTAGAAGGGCTTTAGAAATTTTTTCGCTTTCCACAGGAAATTGTATTTTCTCTGTAGAAAATTTTCAGAAAATTGTCTCTTCCTAGAAAATCGTATTTCTCTCTTGAAAGCCCATCGTTTTCTACAGGACCTCTAGCAGATATTTTCTAGATATATACATGTCTTCTCACTTCAGTAGACCCTAAAAATGCTCTTTCTCTCTCTCACTCTCTGAAAAGGCTTTAGCAATTTTTTTCTCTCAAGAAGACCTGGAGAAGGTCTTATCTCTCTTTAGAATATCTCAAACAGTCTTATATCTGTTAAAGGCTTTTAAGCGGCTTCACTCTGTGATAGGCCTTTAAAAGCCCAAGTTCTCTGGAAGTTCTTTAGCAGTTTTTCTTTTTCCGCACATATCAAACATTAGTATACCTGTTAAAGGATTATGGAAAACCTTCAGAAGTTTTTTGTTTTCCACAGGAATTTTCAAAGATATTTTCTCTGTAAAATTTTTTAGAAAATATCTCCCCAAAAAATCCTATTTCCCTCTTGAAAGGCAATCGTTTTCTACAAGACCTCTAGCAGATATTTTCTTCTCTCTCTTCCATATACCCAAAAAATCCTCTTTTTCTCTCTCACTCTCTGAAAAAGCTTTAGAATATTTTCTCTCTCAAGAAGGTCTTATCTCCCTCTAAAATATCTCAAAAAGTATTATATCCGTTAAAGGATTTTAAGGGGCTTTCTCTCTGTAGCTCCATATATATATCTTTATCCGATATCAGGTTTATTGTGCACCAAATGTCTAATATCAGCCCAAAGGGGCTTAATTTTGGCAATTACAACTGCATTTATCCTAGAAACCAGTAATTCAAATTTGGTTTTAAATCGGTTCAGATATAGCTAAAGCTCCCATACATATATGTTTCATCCGATTTGTGGTTTAAACTCCCTCACACGCGTAATATGCAATCCACATGAATGAAATTTGGTACTAGATAACTTATGGATCTCGAAAAAACCTCTGTCAAATTTAAGCGAAATCGAATTAGATTTGGATAAAGCTTCCATATATATCTACATCCGATTTCAGGGTTTATATTATTTTAGCGACATTATTCGCCAGAATTATTTCAAATTTGGTATTTGAAGTTCCTAAAAGGTACTACAGCCTGTGACAAAAAATTGTCTATGCAGGTCCAGATCTTCGCATAGCCCCGATATAACGGTACCTCCCTATATTCGATATTTTGATTTTTATTCACCTGATTTTTTTCAAGTTTCGTATTTGAATATTGTAATGGCTTACGACAAAAGTTGCCTACGCAGGTTCACGTCTTCATATAAATCCCGATATAACGGGTAGATTCGGTATATTTAAGATTTTAACAGAATTTTTAACAAAATTTATTTTTTTTTTTTTTTAAATTTCCAAATTTGTTCCAATTGGTAGAGGGTATTCAAAGTTCGGCCCTGCCGATCTTACTGCTTTTTTACTTATTCTATAAAGCTTTTGGAATGTCTTCTCTTCCCCTCTCTCTCTTTCTCTCTCTGGCTCTTTGGAACACCTTTCGAATGACATAGGTATCCAAAAGTAAGAGAGTGAGGAGTATCCGCCTGTTAAACACAGGCTGAAATTGGAAAAAGAGAGGAAATGCTTGGATCGACATGGTTCCCTTATCCATGGAAGATCTTTGGAAGTTTCATATTCTTTAACCCTCTTAGAATGCCTTCCGTTCCCAACTTTTCTTCTTCAAACTCAATTTTTGCAGCACAAAAGTATACATTTTATTTGAAATAAAAATTGCTATTATTTTTGTTTTTCCTCCTACACTTTTCTAGCAACATCAACACATTTTCGAATTAAATTCTTAAAATCGAAAAAATTCAATTTCAAATTTGTCAAATTCATGGTAACACATGAATTGCCTTTCTTTACAGCGGCAATTTCCTTGATCGTATACCAGACAGCAGTTTTCAGTTTTTCCGCTTGCTTGGTGACATTTTCCACACAAGATGGCGTGGGTGTTTTCCTGGCATCTGTGGCCGCATCATAGTTGGCGTTGTTGCAAACATTCTTACTAACATCAACCAAGGTTGTTAGGATGCGAATGACATCATTGGCATTGTCCAGTACAAAGTTGGCTGTGGCGGTTGCTGTCGCATCGCAAAGGTTAAGGTCGTATTTAAAGGTATCAACGGTGTCCTGCAGATTGTAGGCGGCTTCCGTGACACAGTGTAGGCCGGCCAGGTTTTTGGTGGCCAACTTAACGTAGTTGCCACCGGCAGTTGCAATGATGGCGGCGACTACAAGAACGACAATTGAAAGCTTGCAGTTCATGATGATTTTCTTCAATTTTCCTCTTCTTCTGTTCTGTCTGCGAGAATTGATAAGGTTTCATTGCCAAGGCCAATATTTATATGAAAATCATTTGGGTTTTTTTTATTTTTATTTTTCCCTCAAATATCTTATCTCTGTGTCTAATTGGAATTCTGCTGCATGCATTTTAATTAATAAAAAAATGTTTGCAAACTATTTTTAATTAGCATTTGTGATAGACAAGTTGAAGGTAAGAGCATATATTTCAAGATGGGGTTGTAACAGCCAAGGGCTTTTTTCATACCCTCAGTCATATGGTTAGAGTTAGGTTATATATCATTTGATACGGCCAAAACGTGGCTCACCGAAATAACGGTCTTAGACCCTAGGTCTTCTTGGACAAAATCCGTTTCAGGACAATTGGTGTTGACTGTCTGGCTGGTGCTCTCGAAGTGAGTATCCGATTTCGTTCAAACTTGGTACATCGTAATATTATTATCAAACTTAGATCGAGTTCGGAGATGGGCAATATCGGTCCACTCCTTCTGGTATCTCCCACACAAAAGGTCGAAATTTTCAAAAAAAAATATTTTACTGCGCAGAAAGAGAAAGGATAATCCAATTTTGCTCCAACTTTGCAAATCCTAATATTTGCATCGGTTCTAGGTCAGGTGTGAAAATGGGCAATATCGGTTCACTCCATCAAGTACCTCCTCCACAAAGGTTCAAAATTTTGAATAATTATAACTCTCATAAAATGTAGTGTAAGAGTCCGGTTGTCTTCAAATTACACACAGTACAATATTTTTATTAACCCAAGGTATGGTGTGAAAATGGGCAATATCGGTCCACTCCTTCTGGTACTTCCCCCACAAAAGGTCACAATTTTGAATATTTATGAAGCTCATATGACGCGAAATTAACATCCAATTCCATTCAGACTTGTCACAGCTCAATGTTTCCATCAACACAACATATGTTATAAAGATGGTAGAGATCGGATCAATTCTTCTGGTACCTACCCCACAAAGGGACAACATTTTGAATAAATAAAACAATTATAAAATCCGAAAAAAAGGCATCCAGATGTCTTCATATTTCACACATCCCATTACTTCTACTAACGCAAGATCTGCTGTGAGGATGGGATATACCGGTTCACTCCTTATGATACCTCCCACACAAAGGGTCAAAATTTTGAATATCCATGAAACTCCTAAAACGCCAAAATATCATCCGACCGAAAAACCTCAGATTCTCTTCATATTTCACACAACCCATTATTTTTACTAATACAAGATCTGCTGAGAAGATGGAGTATATTGGTGCACTTCTTCTAGTACCTCCTCCACAAAGGGTCAAAATTTTGGATATCAATGAAAAAAGCATCCGATTCCATTCAGACTTGGCAAATCTCAATATTTTTATCAACACAATATCTGTTATAAAAATGGTGAAGATCGGACCATTTCTTCTGGTACCTCCCCCACAAAAGATTCAAAATGTTGAACAACCAAAATGGTCTTAATCCGTATATGACAGTACTAATACGTACATTTTGAGCAAGATTGGGCTAGGGAGTCTACTACCACTACGATAGCAAATATTTTGAGCAAGGCTGTTCTAATACGAGCATTTTAAGACGAAACACATAATTTTACCAAAACTTGAGAACTTATCTCTTATCAGAGCTTATCTCTGCTGTACTTTTGGATCTCTTTTGCTCTCCAATGAGAGCACAAAAACTTAAGACATTGATTCTGAGTATTTGAGTATCTCGTAATTATAAAAAGCATAACAAACTAATTTCTCTCTCTCTCTCCCTCGCTCTCTTTCCAGTTCGCAGCTATGATAATCACGCCAAATGTGGTCTAGTTTGGGTTCCCCACGTTGTGGCATATCGTTGTCGCACCTGTGGCATTTCCCCCTGCATGTCCATCTGCCGTGATTGCTTCAAGAAAGGTGATCACACCAATCATGATTTCAATATGTTCTTATCTCAGGCCGGTGGAGCCTGCGATTGTGGTGATACATCGGTGATGAAAGCCGAAGGCTTCTGCAGTGATCATGGCATTAATAATCGCCAAAACAAGGAACCCGTACCGAACAATCTGCTGGCCGTTGCCGAGGCCATAATGCCAAAATTACTCTTTCGTCTGTTGCAACATTTTCGCGAACACAGCGATGCGGCATCGCAAACCTTCAACATGGCCGCCCATTTGTGTGAGGAGTTCACAAACATGCTCATCGATTTGAATAATATGGGCGAAATTATGCGTAAGGTGATGACTCGAGCCCTAATTAGCAAAGAGGTCTATAAGCAGTTCAATGATGTGAATTATCTCACCTCGCGACATGCTCAAGTCCTAAAAGAGAATCGCGAAAAGTATGAAGATGCTGTCAACCGTTTTCCACGACCCGAACCCCCAGATGACTACAAACACCTGCCGGCACTGGGAGAGAAACTGGTACACAGTACCCTGCTGGAAGAGTTCATATTTTGGACCTTCAAATTTGAGTTTCCACAAAATTTGGTCTGCTTTCTGCTAAACATGCTGCCCGATCAGGACTACAAGGAACATCTGACGCGAACATTTGTCATGCACTACAGTCGCATACCATCTGTGCTGGAAATGTCCAAAGATCCGGATACCCTGAGCAATCGTGTGGTACACATGAGTGTCCAATTGTTTTCCAATGAAAGTCTAGCCCTCAAAATGGTCAAAGAGCTGTCTTTGCTGCATGTCATGATCATCAGTCTCAAGCTAATGATGTCGAAAATTCTCATACAGAATACCTTACATGGTGGGTAATTTAAATATACTATCCTCAACATTTATTACTTACTTATTTCCCTTCCGTTTTATTTCATTTGCAGATCCCTCAAAAAACTTCCACTTTGTCATCGATTGCACCCGCCAAGTCATGAAAGATCATTGCTATTGGCCACTGGTGTCCGATTTCAATAATGTTCTCTCCCACGAATCGGTCGCCTTGGTCTTCTTGCGTGATGACAATTTGATTGATATGTGGTTTCAATTTCTCTCCATGCTGCAGGGCATGAATGTCAATGTACGCGAAACAGCCTCACATGTTGAATTCGAACCGAATTCGTATTATGCTGCTTTCTCTTGCGAACTGGAGGCAAGTGCCTATCCCATGTGGTCGATAATATCACATTTGAAAGATGGCAAACATGCTGATTTGGCCAAGAAGATCATCACCTATTGTGTGAATATGCTGCACGAATGGTTGGAGGCGATCTATTTTCAGCAGCCAAAAATTTCTCAAGTAAGTTGATGGTGGTGGCTGTATTTTTTTGTGATATTTCATAACTTTTTTTTGTTATGTCAATTACAGGAGGAAATGCTACAGGCCTCATTTCATTTTCCCTTGCATCGTTATTTGTCGGCCTTCGTTTGCCAAGCTGTCACAAAAATGGGCATGTCTTTGTCCGAAGTTCTACCAACAAGATCCTATATATTGCCTTTGCTAATGATGCATCCATTGAGAGTTCAGGTGAGTGGATTTTTTTATTTAACTTTTTGTGGGCAATAGGCGTGGCTTCAATATTCTTGGCCAAGGAACCCTTATTAAAATCAAATATCCATCGATTTTCCATCATGTTGAGTCCCTCTGAACATTTTTACACTTCCACTTGAGGTCAATAACGCTTTTGGAACACTTAAAATAATTACGAGAAAATTCCAGCAAATTATGAAAGTAGAGCTAAAAAGAGGAGACATGTGTATCGGCGTTTTGAAAGTATACATCGCTAAGTAACCTCAATAGAGTTGACAAATTCTTCCCAATTTTTTGCAAAATGTCGGATTTTAGATTCATTATAATCCCGTTCATTTGAAGTATGTAGTGTCTTTGGTAATATTGCAGAAAACAGCGCAAGCCTTATTTTGGTATTCGGGCGAGTCACCAAATGGGTTGTTTGTTCCTTTTCAAATTGGCATTAAAACTCCCCTTAAATGGATCATAGCAGGTCAAAAGATTCTTCAAAATTAATTGTAGTAAAATTTTACTACTGGTCTCGGAATACATCAAAAGTACAAATCTTTCCTAAAAGCCAGGAAATCAAAATATTGATAATATTTTGGGGTTAAAGTTGTATTGCATATGAGTTTATGCAAAAATCTCCTACAAAACATAATTTTAGAAGAATGATGTCAATGACAAAAATAGTCTTCACCAAATTTCACTTCAAAACACTAAAGAAAAACAACTGCTATTTCCATTCTATATTAAAAAAGATTTGATGTCAAAATAAAACTCGGCTTTTTCGATCTCGTCTGTAATTTTTGCTGATTAAATTTCTGATTTAGTTTTTGGACCCGCTTATCTTCTTTGGAATAGTTCTTCTTATAGAAGGTCTGTTAATCTTCTAAAAAGACTTGAATACATTTTATTACCTGCACACGATGTGCAGGAAACCAATAAGAACTAAGGCAGCTGCATTATGTGGATCTCAATTGTACCACAATTTCTCGGGTTTGTCGAGGCAGCTCTCGTTCTTCAGCTGCAATGGAAGGTGGATGATCTCCGTGTACAGTATGAAGGCCTTTCTTTACATGCCTGGACAGAGGTTTGCCTATCCACGAGATGGTGGATGGCTCTGTTTGATTTTATTATGATGTAGCACCGGCAAGACTTTCGTCTCCTCGTGTAGATGGTCGACAGATGTCATAAGGAGGCCACCTATTGCGGTTATAAGGTCGGCGTTCTAGCAGGACTGAATATTTTTCCATAGAGTAGCACGTGGCAGAACTCGCCAGAGCCGCATATTAGTCAACAAGATTTTTCCTCATCAACTCTCAAAGTTCTATCGGCAAGGGCCTTAAGAACCTTGTTCCTTCTTCTAAAGTTATCGCAGATAGATGTGACATGAGCGGACGACTCGAAGTGAGCACCCATAATTTTTAATGAAATACATCATCTTCGCTGTCCATACGATAAAATGTGTGGCAGTCGATTTCCTCGCAATAAAGAAAGGTGTTGAGATCAACTAAGTAATTGTTTAAACGGAGCATTTGCTTACGTTATTATCTCTTTATGCCATCTGGAGGGTTTGGAATTATAGAAAGGAGCTCATCACTTTCATTCATAAGTCCCGCTGCCTCTGCTGGGAAATTGCATATTATTTGAGTTATTCGACAACTCGCTGAGGTTATAAAATAAGAGGATTTGCTCATGGAGAGATTATCGGGAGAAATCACGTCATTTATAAGACCGGGTGGCACTGCGGTTAAATCTGGGAACTGTGACACTCTCTTATTCGGGTGGGGGCATCCTCGTTTATCGTGCCAAAGGTGGAGCAGTCATTCTGCTCTGCCAATACGACCCCCCTCTGACTGACGACGAAGAAGCGGACCCGCTGGGAGGTGCAGCAAGATGCAAAGTAGTCTCTTTCGCTGTAGTCTTGCAACCGGTTTAATTCGGAACAGTTCCTAAAATGCACTCATTCTCTGGAATGAAGAAGCGGACCCGCTGGGAGGTGCAGCAAGATGCAGAGTAGCCTCTTTCGCTGTAGTCTTGCAACCGGTTTAATTCGGAACAATTCCTAAAATGCACTCATTCTCTGGATCCATTACATCGCACCGATACATATCTATGGTGAATGATGATGTTTTAACCGAAACCGAACAGAACAATTGACCGGGATTTTCTTCAATCTCGGCACGGACGAAAATAATCCGAAGTAGACATTCTGGGATATGTTTCTCCCAAAGCAGAAAAAAATATACAAACACGAACATATATATACTGAGTTGTTAACCCATTGCCGAAACAAGGATACTGTTGTTTCAAGTCAATCCGGTAGAATCCGCCGCCGAGGGATTGTCCACGATTTGTAGTTTTTGGCTCTAGGAAACAATTCTAGTTGCCATTCAAAAAAATTCTTTAAAATATCCACGTTTTGTGGTCTTTTGATTCTTGACTAGACTTTCAACTCATAGAAATTCCGAAATTCAGATAGGTTGTATCCCTTGCCGCACGATGGACCACCGGTTTTGTGGTCTGTTGGTCATTGGAGTTTTTTCCTATTAAACATTTACAATTTGGGGTCAAGGAATCCTTGATTTCTGAACTGTTGATACTTGAATCAATTTTTCTTTTTTGAAAAAATCACGATTTATATGTTTTCGGCACTTGGAAAAAATTATCTTGTACACTTATTTAATAGATATTCCCGAAATTTAAATGGGCTGTACCCCTTCCTGGCTAAAACTTAATTTTTTCCGTTACCGATTTCCTATTTCTTTATATAATATAGAAAATATATTAATGCTTAGGAATTAGAAAAGTATCTCAAAATATTGTAACACTTAAGCGTGACGGGCATCTAAAGACGAATATTTTTCTCTTTTTTCGTATTTTTTGGAAAACTTTTCTTGGAAAGTACTATTGACAAAGGGTTTATGAGTTATACTCTCCACCATATTATGGAGGATCTATTATCATTCCATTTATAACTCCTTGAAACAATTAAGTTAGACCCAAAAGTATGTAGTAATCACCATTTTGGCTCAAATGCTATTACAAATTTCAAAATACGTTCAAATATTTTATTCAAAATTATAGCAAAATCTTCTTATTACAATAATTCTATATTTGGCATGATACAAGTTTTTTTTTCGATATCATATTTTTTGTTGCTATATATCTCTACGTTTGTTTCACATCATGCTGATTTATTTATTATTCGAATTCATTAGATATTTTTGATTTCGTCTTTAAAAATATATTTATATCTGAGATTTTTTTAACTTAAAAAATACAAAACGCAAAGCGTTATAGGAAAAAAATTATAATGCAATATGGGACAGAAAAGGCAGGAAAGAGGGAGAGAGAGGGGTAAGGTAACGGAAAAGATAACTTATTTCTTGTTGGGATTTCTCCTTTTTGTGGTGAGATGTCCATCTTAAGTTCTACGAGGTGCTTGAATGTGTGGAGTAAAATCATAGGTCATTAGCTTGGGTGCTATAAAACCACCATAGCCGGGACGACCCTTGTGATAGATGCCAACCCCGGCCAAGGGTACTGGCGGCATGGAGATCACATGCTGGGTATCGATGAAGGGCACCGTTGATTGTGAGGCATCCTTGTAGACATCCGATGCGGTAAATTCAATATATTGATTGTGACGTGAATCCGGTACGGATTTAGCCTTTGTTCGAGTGGGAACATCGGGATTGCTTAGCTCAACTTTTTGCCTAAAAAAATTGATGAAAAAAACACATTGGTGGAAACCCTTCCTACCATCAAAATGCAACAACTTACCTCCTATCCCCACTGACATCGGTGTTATCATTTGATTTCCAAAAACTATTCTCCATGGGATTAACCAATTGCCCCGTCTCAAAATTAAATTCACTCAGGCGAGCCTCCAAATTCAAATGGGCTCCCACAACTCGGAATCGTACTCCCGTCACCACAAAACTATTATCTTCGGTATGGACATCATCCAAATCAATGGAACGTGCTCCATAGCTGAGTGTATAATAATCACGATTGTTGCGTACATTCCTGGCGTTTAGGGTATAATTATCGACCGGCACCCATTGCAAAGTGGTGGCATTGATTTTGCCACGTGGCAATAATTCACCCTCTTGAATTTGTAAATGGAATACACGATTTACCTTGACGAAACGTAAGCCCGTTAGAACCCTGAAATTGGAAACGGAAACAATTCATTATTGCACTTCGAAGTGGAATTGGAAAATGGAGAGATGTGGGGAAGGGACGAAATGGACATTGACTTACTTATTTTCATTGACATTGGCTAGGGTTTCACGCAAATTGAAATAACGATCCGTTTTCGAGCTGTATTGATCATCGCACAAACAGAAGCAATAGGTACAATGCCAGAACAGATAACGCCACCATGAATCAACCTGAAAAGAGGGATACAATCTTTCGTTAATTAAAAAGGTCTTTGGATAATGTTGGTTAGCTGCTTTTGTTATGTTGATAATGGGATAAGATAGATTTCATTACTGCAATAATGTGGATGTATTCAGATGACTTCGAAATTTTATCTAAAGTATCTATATGATGTAGAAAATGAATCTGACATGGATAATGTATCTGAAGTATATAAATGACGTGGATAGTGTATCTAAAGTATTTAAATGTCGTGGATAATGTATCTGAAGTATTTAAATGTCGTGGATAATGTATCTGAAGTATCTAAATGACGTGGATAATGTATCTTAAGTATAAAAATAACGTGGATAATGTATCTGAAGTATCTAAATGACGTAGATAATTTATCTCATGTACCCAGATGTCGTAAATAATGTATCTGAAGTATCTAAATTACGTGGATAATGTATCTGAAGTATCTAAATGACGTGGATAATGTATCTGAAGTATCTAAATGACGTGGATAAAGTATCTTAAGTATATAAATAACGTAGATAATGTTTCTGAAGTATCTAAATGACGTAGATAATTTATCTCATGTACCCAGATGTCGTGAATAATGTATCTGAAGTATCTAAATTACGTGGATAATGTATCTGAAGTATCTAAATGACGTGGATAATGTATCTAAAGTATCTAAATGACGTGCATAATGTATCTAAAGTATCTAAATGACGTTGATAATGTATCTGAAGTATCTAAACGACGGGGATAATGTATCTGAAGTATATAAACGACGTGGATAAAGTATCTGAAGTATATAAATGTCGTGGATAATGTATATGAAATATTTAAATGATGTGGCTCGTTTATATTCCATATCCAGATGATGCAGATAGTCTATATTCCCCTAAACTACTATGTTTACAGTATCTAAACAACGTGTTTATTATATCCACAGCATCTAAACTAGGTTCACATTGTATCTACTGCTACTAAAAATGTATTTATTGTATCTAAAGTATTTCGACCACGTATTCATGGTATCTATAGGGTCTAATCTACATGTAACAAAGTTTTCATTATTATTATTAATTGTATCTAAAGTATGTAAAGCAAGGGTTCATTGTATTTACAGTATTTAAACTACACGTTTACTGTATCTACAGTATTTGGAACAAGTTTAAATTGTACAAAGTATCTAAACCACATGTTTACTGTATTTACAGTATCTGAACCAAAACTTAACTGTATCTACAGTAGCTTATCCTTGTATCTAGTAATAAAACTATTTGATTCTCACATCTGCAGCATCTAAACTACGTATTTACTGTATCTACAGTATACAAATCGCGTGTTCTGTATGTCCACTGTGTCAAAACCACATTTTTATTATACCTATTGTACCTTAACCACAAATTTACTGTATTTACATTACGAAATACATGTTCTCAATGTATCTACAGTGTCTAAACTAATTGTTAGTTTTATCTACCGTATCTATATCACGTGTAAATAGTATTTATAGTATCTAAATTGCGTATTTAGTATATCTACAAATATTTAACTCACATATTAGTTGAATTTATGACAACTTCTTCAAATATTTTTTGTATCTACAGTATTTTAACTTTATACTTATTGTATCTACCGTATCTAAATACACACATATTTATTTTATTATACATCTTATCCATATATCTTTTATATATACAGTATTTAGGGTTTTTTATTGTTTCTACAGAGACTATAACCCTTTCTTTTTGTATTTTATCTCTCTATAGGTAATATTTAGCGTATTATTGTATCTGCAATACTCAAATAGCATTTTACTACATCTACAGTGTCTAATCTAAGTGTTTAATGTAGCTACAACATTTATTTTTTTATCTAATGCATCTTAAAATATTATATCAAGTGAGAGAATAATCTACTTTTTCAAAAGAGGATGACTAAAGTATTTACAGTATGACTAACAAAGAACTAATTTACCTAACTTATGTTATAATAAATCATTAACATTGCCTACATAGTAGTATAAAATGATAGTACATTTTTTAAATCTAAAGCCAAGACATGGGACAGATGAACAGATACAAAAAAATAATTTATTTAATTTGTATATATTATCTAGAAAATAAAATTATTATATCGTGTTAAACAAATAACTAGAAAAATGTATATCAACTAATTAGTATCTGCATTATCAAAAATAGTGTATCTACATTATAAATAGTATGAAAATATATACATGAAAAGGAAATTATTTATCGAGAAAAGGTATCCCACTATCAACATTACAAAATTGCTATATCAGCTGATAGATAATATTCAAATTCATATGTTTTGTTTTTTAACTTACCGGTGTCTTGCCTCTCGAACAATGGCCAACTTTACCCAAAGTCACACCGTTTTCATATTCAATGAAATCGTAACGTTTATGACTGTCACGGGGCTAAAATAAAATGAATTTTACATTTAAAAAAGAAATTTATTTTTATTTTACAAAACTTACCGATGGACATATCATCATATCAGAATCGAAACGCCTACAGCTATGTATATTGCCGGTACAACGTTCCTGACGGGCACAGAATTTATCCTTAAAACAACCCTCATTCTTGGTACTCGTATAATCTTCACATGTTTGCCAACATTCACGATTATAATTCATATCAACTTCATTCTCAATATAACCCTGGAGGAGACGTGTCACCTCATCATATGTCTGGCCTTGAACATATTTCTCAGGATCACAACGCCACACAATGCGATCGGCACGATTCATAACCTCACGTAGCAGGCGCACCGTTTTCTCTGTGCGTTTTTCAAAATCGCTGCGCATTAATTCGGCTTCCTGGGTGAAGTTGCCTGTGGAGTAGAAGTTAAGAGAATAAAAAAAATTATTCGATGAGATTTTTCTGAGAGTCTAAGTATTTTTCTAACCTTTTCCATATACCCGCAAAATCATCCATGAAAACTCCATCATTGTATACCCCTTGAGCTCCGTCAAGGCAATATCCGTATACAGTGAATACAGAAATTGTTGTGTTGACTGTTGATTCAGACATCTTTCATCTTTGGAAGCCTAAGAAAAGCAGAGAATTTAAATTAAAAATTTGTGTTTTTAATGAATTTAGAGCTTGATATCCAAAATATATTTCCCCTAGTTGAGTGGACCGTAATCTTAGAAATAAAATTAAAACCTTTGTATTAATTTATAGATATTTTAGCTAGCATATAATTCTCAATTACTCTGCAATTTTTCCATGAGCGTTGTAAATTCTTAAAAATCAACTTTGAGTTTTTTTTCACGAATTCTAGGTACTAGATAAAAATTTCTTCAAATAATTGTTTTATCATTAAGTATTTAAGATGGATTTATTCTTATCCATGATGTTTTTTATGTCAAATTTTTCCTATCACATTTATTTCCTTGTCGGAACATTTTTCAATTTCCATTCAAATAACAATAGTTCCGTTAATTGTAGAATTTTTCAATTCTAGCTTTAATAAAATTGCCATGTATACATTTACAGGTGTTTGTGCTCTGTCCCATATTAATTAGGCATGTACGTGACAATCCATTATTTATGGATCAACAATTCATTGGCATATAATTGCAAACTAAGATATAAAAATAAAAATGAGGGAGGAGATAGACAAACTTATTAATTTGGATTTTTTTGCGGTGGAGTTAAGCACATGAAAAATATATATAGATTGTCTGGATAGTGACTTCATTGAGGCCTTAAGAAAAACTTCCATAAAAACTTGAAGATGTGGACATTTTTCTAAAAATTTTGTATTTTTATATTTAGGATATTTTCTATATACCCAATATCATCTATTTACGTACTTTATATATTTATGCATGGCAGAAGAATGATATGTCAAAAAAAATTTAAATGTTTTTTCAAATATATGTAAGTAGATTTTTATACGCTTTTTATGCTACGTCATTCGGAGGCTATTATAATTCGCGTTGTTCAACAATTTTTACAAATTTAAATGAATTTTTAATTCAACATTTTCAATTCCAAAATTGGTTTGACAGTTCATTGTCCAGTTCGACGCGTCTACCTATATTCCTCTACCATGTATTTATGTGTCGAAATGTTTCCCATCCCAGGAACGTTAATTTGACTTCTCTCTCTTTTATCAGGGGTGCTCAAAAAGAAATATCTCTTTTCAGTCAAATTTCTCTTTGCTTATTTAAATCAAGAACAAAACAGTGTTAAGTCATTATTTATATAAATATTTTTTATCTATTTGCTTTATAAATTATTTTGGCAAACATTCGTGTTTTAAAACAATTAAATAGAACCGTAAAATATAAAGAAAAACAGAATTTTAATTTTCTCTTTAATTATCTCTTTTTTCTCTTCATGTTCTAGAACACGGTTTTGAGCACCGCTGCTTTTATAGACGTATTTTCTTTCACTCTCTCTCTCTTTATCTCTTTGACTGTGAATAAGGGGTATGTAAGTCGACTTTGGTTTTATCGATTAATAGTCTTTTGTTAGTGAAAGACTTAAAAATCAAAGTTGAGTTTTTGTCGGTGGTTAAAATTCGACTTTCATAATCAATTTTGAGTTTATTTTTCTATCGATTTTCATTCGAGGCAAATAGTTTTTGGAATGCAATTCCACAGGCCGAAGACATGAAAGATTTTAACAATTTTCTATAGAGAAATTACAACTTTCTTCTTTCGTCTACAAGAATTCATATATTGATAGAATACCACAAAAGACGGCCTTGAAATGAACTCATAGGGGCCTTCTGTATTTAAGATATTTTCTATATACGCAATGTCATCTATTTACGTGTTTTTTTAATATTTATGTCGAAATGTTTTCATTCCCCATCCCAGGAACGTTAATTTGACTTCTCCCACTTTTATAGAGATTTTCTCTTTAGTAACACTCTTTCTCTTTGACGTTGTATTAGGGGTACATAGGCCGACTTTGGATTAATGGACTTTCGTTTGAAAAGTTTAAAAATCAAAGTTGTCATTTTGTTTGTGGTTAAAATTCGACTTTCAAAATTCATTTTGAGATATTTTTTTTATCGAATTTAATTCGAGACAAATATTTTTTTTTCATAATGTCCAAAAATCGATCATATCAACTGATGGCTAAACTACTTCACATCAAAAAATAAAAATGAACTTTAATTTGAAAAGTTAAAAGGAATCAAAAATCCATTTTTTTGTTGAATAAACAAAATCGACTTCTATTTTGGACAATATATCCCTACTTTAAATCTCTTTATTATATATTATTAACAGTCAGTTTTAATTAAATTACAATTCTCAGTGCCAGCCAACCGTAACTTCAATCCAACAATTTATTTTCGTGACAATTTGTTTGAATAGTAGAAAAAATTTAGCAAACACGCAATTGTGAAAGGGGGAAAAATTATCTAAACACATTCACATTTAAACTAAAACAGAAAAAAATGAGTATAAAAATATTTCTTTTACAAATACAACATAGCCTAAAAATTGAGAGATTTATTTGGGGACTTTTTTTGGAAATAAAGAATATTTGTTGATAATCTAAATATTTTATATGCACTTATTAAATTTTACAATCAAAAAATAAGTTACAAATAAAAAGGCCTGTAAAACCACTTATATGAATAATATATGCTCTCAAAACTAAGCCAATTCATTAATTTGTGGAATAAGTTTTTGAATATATTGTTACAAGTCACCTTTTAGTAATCACCGTTTAATTTTGAATCACATAATGCATATTCATTTGCATTTTACGTATTTTCCAAAAAAAAAAATCTCTTATCAAAATATGATCTCAATAGGAACGCCTTTATATTATAATCTTACATTAATCGAACATATGCAATTTCCAACATGCATATGCAAGTATCAACATTTGTTTATGCAAAATTGCATGGCATGCCATTGTAAAAATTACCAAACAAAGGATCATTTTCCATTATCTTTTCAAAATATTTTCCAACTTTCCTGCCTTATCTCAAAACATAACACTTCAACTAACCATCATTGCCCGATAATACATTGTCTGCTTCACCATTATCAAATCGATGTCCTGAAATATTCTCGGTATCGAAAATGTTCTATCATTACGCAAAACTCTTTCCGCCACATCGGTCAGGGTGCGTTCATCCAAATCGACATTGTTGTGATGGGAACGCAAGTAGTTGGCAAAGACACCAAATAAATGATCGATTTGTATCAAATCACGTTCCAATAGACTCCATTCGTAATGATTTAATATTTCATATTTGCCCTCCTCCCACTTCGCTTGCATATGGCGGTGTACAAAATGCCGATGTGAATCGATAATTTTACGCAGTTGCTGTTCGGCATTACGATTATTTGTAGAACGATCCAAATGTTGCCATAATGATTGTTCCAAAGCTAAATATTCTTGACGTACGGCATCGATTTCAATGGGGGCAAAGAGGCCAGGTCGATATGACGACAACGCAGGGGAGTTGTCGGAGGCCATAATATGGTTTGGACCCAGCACAGCTGCAAGTAAAACGGCTGTGAGCCACAAAAGGCGGCATTTGCTAAGCAATGCCTTCATTTTTGTTGTGTTGGTGTTGTTTTACCGGCTTTTGTTTTTTTTTTCTATTTTTTATTTTTCTTTGGCGATGTTGTCATCCAAACTTCTTGCACAAATGTTTTTTATGGCTTTTATTATTTTCTTTCTTATTTCTCCTTTCGTCGCCTAAATAATGTTTATTTTCTTTATATGAATACGTAATTATGTTCTGAAATAAACCACTCATTAAAATCGTTGGCCTTTGCTTGTTGTCACTTTTCAATTTATTTGTCGGCAATTTGAATATTTTTTCCGTTTTTTTTTTTTCTTTCTTCTAATATCAGTTCGTTGTGAAAGTGTCTTTTAAACTGCACACACACTCACACTTAACATAGATTGTAAAATTTTAAATATTCTACATTTTTGCTGGACAGCTTATCAACATATTTTCATTGCCAATCACATATTTTTTTATTGGCGAGATTTATAGAAGAGCGTTTATTTTGATTACCTACCAGACGGATTGGCAAGTGAGTTTGTTGTCATTTTTTTATATGGGATTTTTCATCTGTTTTTTAGGAACGTCTGACTTATCCAACCAACCAAATTGCATAAAAAAACAAATTCGCAATATTACTTTTTTAATTTCGTATTCATAAATTTTGTTTCAAAAAATCTTGTGCAATGTTATTAGTTTCTTAAATGCAAAATCTCTCAAATTTGGGACACGATACTCATTATTCGAATAAACCATTAATAACCATTATTCGAATAAACTATTAATATCAGAGCACCTAAACGCTCGCTCGAATGCGAGTAGAGAGTGAAATTATCTCGAATTCAACTTGCAAGTGTTCTCCTGGAAGTCGGAAAAAATCGAGTACACTCCATCTTTATATGTCACTCGAAATTTCTAAGCTTTGCTGATTTCGAGTGGGAGTAAAATTTGTTCATAAGAGCATATGTCGAGTACTCTTTTAGTTTTTGTCATACCTTTACTTAATTTCAAAGTATGAATTTATTTTCCCACTTAATTTCACTCTCGGAGTAAACTCATACTCTATTTCGAATATTTTGACAGCCACACTTATTTTTCAATGCTAAATGATTTTAAATGCTAATTCAATTAATTCAAATTCAATTAATTGCTAACCTTAGAGGAATACAATTTTGAGATCATATTTTTGGTCCACTTTAAATTTTATTTGTCCGCTGCTCGATATTTTTACTATTAACATGTCTATGTCACGGCCTGTTCTTCTACATATTATAGCCAAAAATCATTTTTAAAAATTCATTTTGTTAAGTCTTTACGTAATTACGTTTTCGTGTACAGATTTGAAGTTAATTTGTCGGTCGAATTTCTTTCCAATTTGCTAAAAATCGGTTGTTTTTCCCAACAAAAAGTCAAGTGAAAGGAGAAAATATGTGGCACTTTTTAGCACCTAAAGTCTATTAACGAATAAATCGAAAGTCGACCTATGTATCCCTAATGCTTAACGATTCTGAACGATTTTAATTAATAAGGAGGTTTCAGCCCCATATTAAAAGC